TCTGGGGAAAATTGGGGAAAGGAGATTTTTTTTAAAAAAAAGTTTTGCCTCTGCTGAGGGTGTTGCTCAGTGGTAGGGCACTTGCTTAAATATATGAGGCTCTGAGTTTGATACCCAGCACCAGAAACAAAAAGTAGGGGTTGGGCTGGCTGCTAATAGAGTCTTGGGCAAGAGCTTCAAGATGTAGGAAAACACAAGACATTTGGGTGGGGAGGGGCTTTCAGAATGGCAAAACCTGAATAGTTTGACAAATTAGACAGCAAATAACTCTGTAAGGATATATTGGTTTGAAACATTTTTTGATAATTTGCATGAACTGTGGACAGAAGGAATTCTATGATATGGCCTTTACTTAGCTTTGAGGTAATTCTAATATGGTAATTGGAACCAAAAGGTAATTTCCTCAGTTGATGTTTTAACTGGGCCAAGAGTCTGACTTCCCCCAAACCAAAAGTTCAGGATGTAGTAACAAGAAGTTTTAAAAAACTCTTGAGTTCTACACTGGAATGCTGATTCAAGAATGCTAATTGAAATCTGTAAAACTGTGGTTGAATTGGATGCAGGCTTATTCATTAAATTCTGAGATTTCACAAACTAGAGGAAGACATGTGATAAAATTAGACATACTTCTTATGTGAGATATTAATGTACTGAGTTTGTGTCCATGGGCTGAATTTAAATTTACTTAGGAGTTTGCATGAATTCTTGCATGACTGATTAAATATATACTAAAGGAAATGAAAATTTTGTGGGGAATAGTCTCCATCTTCCTAGGAGTGATGATGATGATCACTATCAAGGGTGACGGTGATGATCATCTATCCCATGATGTTCTCTGTGGCACTGGATGTTAGACTAGAGGAAACATTAGGCAGTTTTCAGGTCTTCACATTTCCAGAGATGGCCAATGTGGGTAGTTAGTGAAGCTGTTGAAGTAAAGGCTTTGATTAATAGTTGAAGGCATACTTATATAGGCTGCAGCTGGGAAGTACTGTCAGGCACCTAAAAATAATTTTCTCAGACTTTCTGGGTGAGAGTCTGGAGCACATATTTGGAAGAGGTTATGAGAGGGAAAAGTGATGAATGCAGAATGTTGTGGTTAATTAATGAGGCATAAAATTGGAAAGAGATATTAACTTGTCAAGGAGAAGATGAAAAGACAAAAGGATAGATTTTGCCAAGAACAGCCAGGGTGTGTGTATCAGAGAAGGGGAAGCAGATGGCAGGTGACACAGGTCACAGGTAGGAAGGATGGTAAAGAGCTACCTTGTTGGAGCTGATGTTCATGGAGGCACTGTGAGGTTCTGAAGCATGTCTCTCCCAGTGTGTGAACACAGGGCTGTGAACGAGTAGGGGATATATTGGAGAATGATCACCATCTAAAAAGTGTTCAAAGAATTCAAAACAGGAGAAAAGGAACAAATTGAAGGACAAATGCAAAGCAATGTTAGAATGGAAAACCACAGAAGCCCGTGGGAAACAAATACAGACTGAGCAGATAGGAATTTTTGATACAGCTCTTTTGATGACTCTGTGAACTCAGAGTACAGTGCCATGAACTTCTCTGTCAAAATGTATGTTAACTGTGAAAGAATGAATTAACATCTGCAACGGATACACCCATCACTCTCACCTCTGATGTGAGACTTCCACTTTTTTACTTTATTAATTCCTATATCATTTGAGGTTTTTATAAACATATGTTACTTGTGTAATAAGATGAAACTAGAAAAATTCTATTGGAACAGGGTTAGTTTTGAGAAAAGAAAAAAATTTGAAATGTCCTAAATTTAATGATAAAAGCCAGAGGGTGGAGGGCAAAAGAAGTCAGGAAAGTTAACCAGCTAACAACTTGGGGCAAAACCAGGAAAAAAAATAAAGAAAGAAAGAAAGAAAAAGAAAAAAGGAAGATAATGTTGAAATCTTGAGTGAAATCCAAACATAGTGAGCAACAGGGTCACCACACTTTGTTTGCTTATAACTTTTGGGACTGTTAACTCCAACCAATCTAGACACAACAGTTATTCTCTTCATGACTTCCCTCCTACCCAAAAAGCTTTCCTGCTCAAGATTATCCCACTACAATGTAATTCACAGTGCTTGCCTACCCCAAAGTGTTTTTTTTTAACCAAGAAAAAACTACCCCCCAAATTTAAAAATATTCTTAGCTCTGATCTGCTACACAACCTTGCTACTGATAGTTGTGGCAGCCTGTCCCAAGATCCAGTCCTTTCCTTTTCTGGGTAGCATCTGTGAATGGCTCAATAAATGCTTGGTCCCTTGGTCCCTAGAGTTTGGGTTTCACGGCTTCCATCGATATGTTATCTATACTTCAAAATAACTATTAAGAAGATATAAAATGGACTTACAAATTGAATTATACAAAAGAATTATATTAACAGGGACTTTAAAAATAAAATTATATTTTAAAAGTATGGCTCCACTGTTGCCCACAAAACCACAAACAAATACATCTATGAGGATGTATTATGGTTTGGAGGCCACGACAACTGCTGTGATCAAGGCGAACAGGTAGGGGGCGCTGGAACTCCAAGGCCCAATCTTGTTTACCGCTAGTGATTTGTTATCTTAAAGACCACATGATTTAAATTCCTGAAATCTGCCCATGGAATTTTCTGGAAATCCTTCATTTAGTCTAGCACAATGGTCCTTAAATTTAGTATATGTAAAAATTACCTTACCAGGCAGCACACACAGAACCATGCATCCTATACTTTATGGGTGATTAAAAAGATTTTCAGTTATAATTTTGTGCCTAACTTTTGTCTTACTTGCTGATTTTACAACCATATGTAATATGAACTTTGGCTCTGAAAGAGTGAGCAGTCAGAAATATGAAAGAATCATCTGTGCCACCCAAAGAAAGAACTAGAAAACTTACTGGGATCCAAATAGCTTCTCAATCTTCCCAAAGTGGTATATAATAAATGTTTAGTGGGCGTTAAGCCTGATCAGAAATCCCACAAAAGCACAGAGAAGAGATTCATAGTTGTTACCACACCCTGACAGGATTTTCATCTATTTTTCTGAAGGCAACTCTAAGAGGTTACTTGAGAGAATTCATCTGCACAATAAGACAAACTTTATTCATAGTGAAGTGCCCCTCACTTTTCTTGAGCCTCAGACTTGAGGAAGAGGGGAAGTCAGGGTTTCCCGGGGTTAGTTGTGCAAATTGTGGTCCTGTACACACACACACACACACACACACACACACACACACACACACAAGGGATGTGTCCAGCTGACAGAGAAGGGGCAGGAGCTTTCTGAGACCTTGTGTGGGCAGAGTCTGTGTGTGGGGTGGGGGTTGGAGCAGGGGCTGCCTGTTCCCCTACACGCTCAAAGTCAATATACAGGCCAGTGGGAGGGTGGGTGGGAGGATGTCTTCTGTACACATTAAACTTCAAAAAGGTTAAAGGTCAGGTATTTAGACAAAATATACCTGTTTCATGATGGCTAACATTTTAATATTGATAATATTTTAAGATGGATAATTTTAAGGTGGATAATATTTAAGACGATAACTCATATTTTCTGGACCCTGAATGCTAGTTTCCTTTTCTGTCCCTCCTGGAGAGGGGTAGGCCACATATCAGCTGTACTTAACTCTTCGAGATTTCTATAATTAAGGCAAGAAATGGAGCAGGGCAGGAAACCAAAGGTGACCATGAATTATTCCAGCTTTTGTTCTACAAAAAGTCTAAGTGCTTAGGGGAAGTAGATTTGCAGGTTTAGATGAAATGTCTTGGTGAACAAAGGAGAAGCAAGTGATTTCCTTGGCTGAGGAGAGGAGAGACAGGGAAGATGGGGACCTCAGAATAAAAAAAAAATAGCATAAATAGCATCAAATTAAAAACAAGTTTATCTGAAGTGTATAAATTCTGAGATTTATATTCTGCCACTGCCTTTAAGCGAATGTATCAAAAGGGCTGTCTCAGGGTCATGGTTCTTGACAACTACACGCCAGGCACTTTGTTCACACCTATTCTCTCTAGTAATCCTCACAACAACACTGCAAAGCAGATGCTGCCATCACATTTTATAAGTGAAACAACAGGGATCAAGGACACAATTGGTAAGTAGAAGGACGAGGGGTGCAAAGCCACGTTTGCTTTTTTTCCTGCACTATAGACCAGTTATCAGTGACATGTACCTAAACTCAGAGACAAAGGAATACACTGAGGTTTTCAGAAGGTTCAAAACAAAAGAGCTCAGTCCTGTATAGTATTGAGTCTATCTCATTCCATGAGTAGATATCTCATTGATATGCTCAGCAGAGTATCTCAGTCCTGTATAGTATTGAGTCTATCTCATTCCATGAGTAGATATCTCATTGATATGCTCAGCAGAGTATGTAGATAATATTGACCCCCAGAGGAAAAGCCCACTCATCACTGAACCAAAAGGAGGGATTCATGGGCAAAGACTAGAAGTTCCTAAGTCTGAGGAGAATGTGAAAGCAATCTGTCACAAGACTTAAAGAATCCTGCTCAGACAATAAGACCCTTATGCCTGTGCCAGAGTTCAGAGGCCTTTCTTCAAGAATGTCAGTATTTAAGATATTTTGTGTATTCAATGGTAAATTTAGGCTAAAACATAACTAAACAAAAAGCCTGTGGGCATGAAGGCATTTTGACCAGCCTATATAATTTCCATCCATCCAATTCATCCATCCAAGGCACTCCCCCCAGGTCTATACCACTCCTGTGCCTATCTACATGCCATTAGGCTAGAAATCAACTCTCTCTCTCTCTCTCTCTCTCTCTCTCTCTCACACACACACACACACACACACACACACACACACACACAAACCAATCAATTCCCAAATCCTCTCCCAAGTTTGAGCCCCAAACAGACAAGCTAGCATTTATTTTAAAAAGCTGACTTACTTTTCCAAAGACTCTGTTCCTGACTTAAAGATTTCTATTCAAGGTATTGGTTATACGAGTAAGCTCCGATTCACAGGACCAGGTTACCTGGTTAGGATCAGGACCAACTTCATCCCAGTTGTGAGTGACATGGCCTTGGTCAATGGATTCAAAGGGCTTGTGAGAGACTGAAGGTAGAATCCTGTACAGCCAGCTAGGGAGAAATAAGAACACAAAGCCTCAGGGTAATGTTCTGAGTGACACAGAGACTGGCTCAGGAAGTGCCATCAAGAAGACCGTCAAATCAACAACCTTCTATGGCTTTAATGTGAGAAGTAATGACAGCATTACTTCTTTTTTATATGCATATTTTAAATTGTGGATTGGCATAATACCTTTATTAAGTAATTAATTTATATTTATGTGGTGCTGAGGATCAAACCCAGTGCCTCCCATGTGCTAGGCAAGCACTCTACCACTGAGCTACAGCCCCAGCCCAGCATTACTTCTTACTAACCATTTGCTGCCTGGAGCTTTGGCCCCTTCTCTATTTTACACTATATCATTCTTGGGATTGAGCTCCAGCTCCTAGATATTCCCACGCTGCCAAAAAATGAAGGACTCTCTTTCCCTCCCACCAGCTGTAAGAAGTACCTTGAGGGATATCAGTGCAGGGAAATCCATAGAAAATCCTTAGCTTTTTATACCACAAGGTGCTAATCCTTGCTCTCAAAGGCCAGGGCAGTGAATTCTATGTAGACTGAGAGAATATGGGTGTTATCTTTGTTATATAAATCTGTCTTTTTCTTTTAAAAATTATAGAAGTAATACATGGCGATGGTAAAAATAATTCAAGTAATTTAAAAAGTTGTGAAAGGCTAATGGTACCTTCTCTTCTACTTTCTTCATAGCTATTTCTTAGAGGCATCAGAGCTTAATGGGTTTCTTACATATTCTCTTAGATAATTCAAATGCATATATAAGGAAAATTGTCAAATCATTTTACCACTTTACTCTCATATCAGGAATATGTTGGAGAGGCTGATCATCCCCATCTTCCCTAAGATTATTTTTCATCCTGAATGAGTAAACATTAGGGTTAGAATTAGGCTGAATATAAAGGTTTTTACATATTAGGTGTAGGAATTATTTTTATAAAAATTAGCAGAAGTTATTATAGAAAATAAAATAATAAGAAATGATATTATAATAAAAGAGGATAGTAATTAATTATTTTTATATGGAGCTGTACCAATTTTGTGGTTCCTAAGGCCAACAGATCCTTTAAAGATCAAGAAAGATATATTATTAGATATGGAGGCATGAATTGGCAGTTCTTATATACTTCCTCAGTAAATGAGCTTTAATCTTCTATTAAATCTTTCTATTATAAAGTATCATTAATATTAGTCTTGTGGTGAAAAAATAGTCTCTTATTTTATATTTCCTTTATTATGAGTAAGGTTGAGAATCTGTTCATTTATTAGCACTTTGTAATTTTTCTATGAATTATCTGTTCAAGTCCTGTACTGTTTTCAGTAGGGTTATTTGTCTTTTTGGCATTAATCTGAAGAGGTTTTTAAATCAATACTTCTGTACTCCACAAATGTTAGAAACATGTCCAAGTTTTATTTCAGTATACTTATAGTTTGTTGGTTTTTTTGTTTTCTTTCTTTTTTCCCCTTCATTTCTACTCTCTGTATGTGTCAAGGCCTGGGCTAATGTTCTGTCCACCAGGAACAGATCTCAGGCTTCAGGAAGGAAAAAAGAGTCTGATGAAAGAAATCTGAACAAAACCAGGAGGAGAACCTTCCAGAAGTTGAGTGGGACACTGAAACTCACTTCAAGGGACCCAAATCTTTCCAAAGACCATTACCCTAATGGGGTACAGAAGGAGGCAGGACCCTACTTCCTACAATGGAGGAAGAGATCTGCTTAATGGCCTTTGATCCTTTAAGCCCAAGGAAAGTCTGATTCAGGGCATGGAGGTTATTAATCTGGCCTGGCCCAATACTGAACCATCCAGGAGATAATTGGCTAACTTTGTTCTTCCATCTGATTCCTCCAACTCTTGAGAATGTGACCTCAGACCTTGGACCCACTAAACCTCTCCAACACCCAGTGGTATATGGGGTTGAAGGAATGTGTGTGTATCTTGGAACCAGCTGTGTGATTCAGGGCAAGTTACTAAACTTCCCAGACCCTATGTTCCTCATCCTTATCTCCTCGGATTGTTGTGAGGAATAAAAGAATTCATGTGTCTGAAATGCCTGGCACGTATTAGGTGATCCTTTATTAGATGCTTTTGAACATTTTCACAAAATTCTTGAGGATACCCTTAGAGAGTTCTAAATAGATAGGTGAGCCATGCCTAGTGCTCCTTATTTATTTATTTATTTATTTATTTATTTATTTATTTATTTATTTATTTATAGCAGAGTCTATAAAACTCCCCAGGCACCTCTACATTGCCCTGGACAGAGATTTAATTCTGACGCAGGGAATTTTGCCAGCTTCTAAATTTTGCCAACAACTCCTTTTCAGCCTCCTGGAACACAACTCAGCTCCTGCTGGCTGAAGATATTGCTGAATAATGGGGGCAGGCAGCAGAATCTGGAGACCAGGTGGCCTGTTAGTGGATGGGCCATAAAGTCAAGAACATAGTCAGGAGGCCAGGTTGTCATAAATTAGAATGGATAGAAATTGTCTGTGTGCTTACCTTTATCCTATCCATTTGGGTTTGCAGAAGGAGAAATAATTAAATGCAATAGAATTTACCTCTTATTTTTAATATATATAAGAAACTATCTTCCCCTGTTCTTCTATGCACACATCTATCAAGAGAAACCAATATTGATACACACTTACTGCCTCCTAATACTGACCTTATACTATAGCACCTGCCATATCTTGTGCTTCAGCTCTCTAAAATACTCTGGAAATACTTCTAGAAATATTTCTAGAAACACCCTGGGATGGAAACAGAAGCTCTTCTATGGTGTCAATAATGATGATGATTTTAATAATAACTCATGTTAATTCAGCACTAACCATGTGCCAGGAAATATGCTAAGCACTTTACACATATTCTTTCCACAACATCTTCACTAAAACTCTAAAATAGGTACTGTAATTATCTCTGTTTTACAAATGAAGATCTAGAGGTTCTGAGAAGGCAGAAGATTTGCCCATGGTCACCCAACTGAAGAAGAAGAAGTGTGGATTTAAAGTTAGAGGGCCTGATTCCAGAGTGGGTAAGACTGACCACCAATGGAAACAATAGTTATCATTGGTGTGGTCCTTTGTGTTTTTGTATTCACCATCTTACTGACTTCTCAGGAGGACCCTGTAGAGATAAACCCACCTCCTCCTTCTAAGCAGTATGATACCACCTGTCCTCTTCCCCAGATCTCCAAGGTCAGCAGCAGCTCTCTTCACAGATGCTTTAACCAGAAAGTCCAATGATTAGATGCTACTTATTTAAATCATGACACTTACAGCCTCCTCAATCTACCTCATCTATGGCAACCAGCCTGCCCCAGAGGAGTTAATCAAGAGAGGAAGATCATTGGCGTGACTTATGGGAATAGAGCAAGCAAGAATGTGACCTTCTGTGCTAATGAATGTGCTGCTTTCTAGGAAAGTCAAATTCCAAAGAGCAAAAACCTTACTAATTCAAAGCAGAAGGGGCCACAATACATGAACTTTTCAACTACTTGGGTTTTGCTTATCCAACATTTTCATGCAAAGAATGTAATATTTTTGGTTAGTTGAAAAAGACACTGCTCTGAATCTTCTATAATTGTGATTTAATCATATGCAAAATCAAAAAAATAAGTAAATAAAAAAACAAAACTCAACTGAACAATCCTTCGAAGAAGACCAGAGTATTAGACATATTTTATTTTAAAAGAAGAAAAACACACTTCCTTCTGAGTACTGGTGAGAATTTGTAAGTGCAACTGGACTTGGGTTTTCTGTGTAGTTTGTTCCCTCACTATCTCTCGTCAGTCACTTGATTCCAACTGGGAACAAGGCCCATTCCCCTCTACCTGTAACCCAGCACAGCCTAAAAGAAGAAGGATCCATGACCCTGGTAGGGGAGGTGGCACAAGGTCCTGGTCATAGTTCCCACTGTCTGCAGATCAGAACTCATCTCATTCTCATACCTTCTCTTATTGGTGCTCCGGGGACAAGTGAAAGCTGATCCTGAGAGCTGCTCAGCGTACAGATTGTAGGGGCAGACTTGAGGATTATTCTAAAACCAAAAGAGGCAATAAACAATGTCATTCAAATCCAAAAAGCATCCCCCTAAACCTTTCCACCAACCAATTCAGTGGGGGAATCCTTCCTGAATGGGGAGACTCTGGGCCACTGCACATGACCACCCCAAGTCATTAATACTTCTTTTAATACCTTTTTATGTAAATGTCCCCCTGATTATAAAAGTAATATATGCTTATTGTAGAAAATTTATTAAATATGAAATCTGAAAACACCCGTTATCTCATCAATCAGAAATAACCAATGTTAATCTGTAAGTGTATTTCTTTTCATTCTTATCCTCCAAAAATGAGGATCTTCTGATACCTGTAAATGTAATAATCAGGACTTGCTTTTATTTTTTTAAGGAAATAATATATCAAAAGCATTTTTTTTTGTGTGTGTGTGTGCCATGAAATATTCTCCAAAAAGTTTTGAGAGAATTTTGTTTACTGTAGTTTTGCAATTATAACCAACACTGGTACAAACGTCTTTGTACATATATTTCTAAAATAACTTATTTTCTCATCATTTTCATATCTTCTGCTGTTCAAAGGAACTAGAAGAAAAGGCCCCTACCTCTGGATGTTGGGGTTTCTCCTGGAAATCCTACAGCTAATTTTACTAATTTGAGGTGGGTACTTTGCCATAGGTAATAACCACCTGTCCCCAAGTTGAATTTTTGTATTGCCATTGTTCTGTATTCCATTTTTCCTAATAACTTGTGAAGCTCCCAAACAGTTTAATCTGCTAGATTAGAAGAACTTTGTTGGGTGGAGGCCTTTTGGCCTGAGGGCTGGTCATCCAAGCCCATGAGTTAGTATTCTCTAAGGATTTTATTCACTCATACCTGTCCTTCAGGCAGGGAACCTGGACAGCGAGGGTCCTCTGAAGCACATTCATTCCCAAATCCAGAAATGTACTGCATGTAACAAAGACATAAATGCCACCGTTATTGGGATATAAAGAACATTTTTCCCAACACTGACTGACTACAAAGGTAAGAATTTCTGCATGGTCACATGTTTGAGTATGATGTTCCAGACACAATATCTTTTCTATGTCTTGACATGAAAATCATTTAGGAAAGACTATGTATTTTGTATAAATTTTAAAGACTTCTATTTAATCAATACCCTTAGTGGTACTTTGTTGATTATGGGCTTATTTTTGCTTATCTCATCTCAAGAATAAGCTCTTTAATTCTAGTTCCATCTGGAAGTTCTTGAGAGGAAGATGGTTCAAGTCCAGATTAGAAGGATCTTGCTGGGCCTAGATTGCAATCTCCCTAAGCTTGGGAATCCATTCTCCCTCCATATCCTAGAAAAAAAAAAAAAAGAAACTGGGGAAAATGTATGTGCATCTAAAATCACAGCAAAATCTTTGCCAGAAAGCTCTCTCCAAACTAGCCTTGCTGCAGGCAGAAACCTACGTTATCTGGCTCATCTATGCAGTACGTGTATATTTATACTTATATCTGTGAGGATATGTGAAAATGAAGTTGAAAGGTAGGGGTGGCTTTCAGGAGATGTCTTAGCCCATGATCTTTTCACAATGGCACAATGGAGCCTATTGTGATTGACATCTCTTAACTTTATACCCAGAAGGGAAAAGTTTAAGAGATTTCTCAATAAGGCAGATCATGGGGGATCCCTTGAAATTTACCTTCCCCCACCCCGTGGTACATACTGCCTTATTGGTCATAGTTAGTAAATGTCAATAAATATTGATTCCCAAAGCCATAGAGAGTGAAACTAAACCAAGTGTACTAGAATGACTGAAGTCACAAGCCTCTTGTAAAATGAGTCCACAGCTGACATGGCACATGCTATTCTCCAGCTGTAAGAACCATGGTGGCTCTATACGGGAAAGTATCAGCTCTACCTCGCCCTTTGGATGTACTACAATTCCATTATACTCCTAAAACAGTTTTTCTTTCTATGGAACTTTTTTTTTTATGGAACTTTATTTTCAAGATGCCTGCAGCATTTATGGTCCTCTGGGCAATCTGATGAAGAAACAACAGATTTGTAGCATCTTGGCTCATTACTGCCACCATCCAAGACCTGAGATTGACTCTTGCAGTATTTAACACACCTGTGAGTTTTGTCACAGGTCTGTCACTGGTTTCCTTGTTCTGTTATAAATTTCACGAAAGCTGGGACGATGGCGGTCTTGTTCTCTATGTACCCTGTGCCCTGAACCATGGAAGGTATTCAGTAGCTGTCTGTGGATTGATTTAGTTTTTCACTTATAGCCAGCTTCTACTATGAGTGCATGTAGGGTCTGCTAAGTGGGATTAGAGCCTCCTTTGCTCTAACTTAAACACCAATTGATTTTAGTTCAGGATAAGCAGAGTGCAGCCTCGCTGGGTGAGTGAAATGCCACCATCTGAGCACATTTCTTTAGAAGATATAAGAAGGATGGATGTGGGTGGAGGGTAGGCCCTCCAGAGTTCTTGGCAGCTCAGGAAAGGATGAGCTAGATGTAACACGCCTGGATGTGTGAGCGATGATCAGGCCAACAGTGTCTATATTTAGAAGGAATATTGAATGTGAAATGTTATGACCTAGAAAGCAATGAAAGTGAAATTATTCTTTTGCTTTCAGATACAGTTTTTGGGGTGGGGGTGCTGAAGATTGAACCCAGCATCATATATGTCAAGCATGTGCTCTACCACTGAATTATGTCTCCAGCCTCCGCAAATTTTTTGTATATTTGAAAATTCATCATCACACAAAAACCCCACCAAGTTATAATCAGATTTGTTCCCAGCAGCACTGTGCTGTTTGGAATGGTATTTTGGAGGAAAGTGGCAGAGATCATCCAACATTTTCATTCTCTACAGTGAGGCTGGCCAGAGACTCCCACCCAGAAGACCCTTACCCTAATTAAGCAGAAACCCCTACTATATTTGTAATATATAAGTTCCTCTTCAGAACGCTTTCTATCAGCAAAAACTTCTGCATGCAGAAAGGTATAGGGGTCGGTAGTTTTCTCATTTTTGGCAAATGCACGGTTTGCAGGAAAAAAAAAAAAAAAGCTCGTGAAACCTGTCTGCAGGATAGAACAAAACACACTCATTATATGAACCTCCCAGCACCCCCCACTATTGGGTATAAAGTTCTAAGAATTTCTGTACACATTGTTCAGAAGAAGAATTCTTAGGCGAGAGCCACCTATGATGAACCCTGCAGTCAATAAACCTGCTTCCTGAAAATTCCTCAGGTGTCCAGCCTCTTTGTCTACTTCAATAGATTACAGTTTTCTTTTCTCAAAATGAACCTCATGCTCACCATCAACAAGGATTGAATTTGAGTTGCTGAGAATCGGTAATGACCCCAAATTATCTTCAATTCTGTGAAATGGAATTTTTGCCCAGCTTGTAACTGAAGCCACTGAGTATGACAGTGCCTTCTCTTTGTTCAGCTGCTGCATTGTTTCTCTCTGCAAGGAGAAAGGAAGGTTCCAGAGCTGCCCAGTACAGCTGAGCTTTCTGGCAGGCATGAGTGGATTTACTTATTAACCTTTCCCATTCTTTGCAACTGTTGGCCTCAGAACAGAGGTTATATGTGTGTTCGGAACAAGGAAAAAGAGAGTTAGTGTATGTGATTCTGAAGCATTTGATTCAGGCTGTGCTTTAGAAAATAGAAAAGAAAGCAGAAAGAACAGCTGGTGGTTTGGAAGGGAGCCACCCCAGTGCTGAGAGAGAGGTGTGAGTTCTGAATCCCTTTCTCCAGCTTAGCTGCAGTGCATTGGCTCAAGAGGAGGTGGAAATTGCTGAGTCACTATTGACTCCTTTGGTTTTCTTAATCCTCTGAGAGCAAAATTACCGATGAGTTTATTAGAGCTTTAAAATGCCATCTCCCTCACTGCTGAAAGATTCTGAATTGGGGAAACTGCACTTTGCAGCTGCTTTCTCAAGGCTCTGAGCTCAAGGACAGCATCTGAACTCTGCTTTTATCAGCCCTGAAAATCCAAGCATTCAACTCCAGCTGGTTCAGTGATTATGTAAAAATTACCTTATAGGAAAATGTAGCAAAATAAAAATCTGACATTAAGCAAATGTGTTTGTATGTTTGCTTCATTTCAGATTTCAGAATAATTAGATTCAACATAAAAATATGATTTTCTTTCCAAGAGAATTTTATGCACATTTTCTAACTAAAGAATAAATTACTAAGCTCCATGTGATTTCAGTACCTTCAGTTTTTTGGCAGCTCACTAGTATACAGCTTTTTAATTCTCACCTGGTCCCCAGGATATGATTTACTTGTCAGAATAATTTTATGAGGTGCTTTCTTCTGAGTCAGATTCTAAGTACTATCTAATGGGACTAGCAAATGGTATACCTCTCTTCCTTTTACTGGTCATGAAGTAAAGTGAGAGAAATCAGGGTAAAGATGGAACTATCATTACCTTTTTTACCTATGCAAAGAAGGAATCTGGTATTTCTGGCTAACATTAATTGTTAGGTCAACTTGCAGATATTGCTGTAGGTTGAGTAATGGACCTGAAATGTCTTAATCCCTGGAATTTAAGAGTATTACATTATGTAGTGAAAGAGAATTTTGCAGATATGACTAAGTAAAGGATCTTGGAATGGGCAATTCCTGTTTATTTGGGTGCACCCTAAATGTAATCATAAATATCATTTTGAAACAGAGAAAGGGGGAGATTTGATTGCAAAAGAGGAAAAGATGATCTAAGTAGAGATCTGAGCAATGAACTTTGAAGAGAGAGGAAGTGGCCACACAAACCAAGGTATGGAAACTGGAAGCTGATGGGACCAGGGAAACAGATTCTTGTGTAGAGTTTCCAAAAGAAAACTTCCAAGTTGACACCTTGACTTTAGTCCAGTGCAACTAATTTTAGACTTTTAAAGGCAGGAGTATAGGGTTAAAGTTTAAGCTGGTTGTGCATGCCTGTAATCCCAGTGGCTCAAGAGGCTGAAGCAGGAGAATTGCAAATTCTAAGCCAGCCTCAGCAATGTAATGAGGCCCTAAGTAACTTAGTGAGACCCATCTCAAAATTAAAAAATAAAACTAAAAAGGGCTGGTGACTCAGTAAGTAGTTAAGTGCCTCCAGAGGTAGGCAATCAATCTCTGGTTTTAAAAAAAAAAATTAAACTGGTATTAGGAAGGGACTATATGCTTTATGCTTAAGATGAATAGGAAAAAGCCTCCCAACTACATTGGTTGTTTAAAATAAATAACAAGAAAATATCAAACTCATGCAAGCAGATCTGACCACAAGCCCTTGACCGAAAGTAACCGGGAACCATTTAAATGCATTTCCATATTAAAGACATGCTCAGGAGGGAGACCTAACACAATTTTAGACACAATTTTGACCATGTGCCAAATGGTACAGGCACAGTAAGAGATTGCAATATAATCATGAATATTGTTATGTAACCTACAAATATGCAAATTCCTGATCCACAACTATATAAATGTTGTTTGCCTTTTGACTTTCTTGCCATTCTATCTATGGAATGGTCACTGCTGCCTGGCTACTCTGCTTATGGAGCTCCCACCTTTCTATATTAATCAATGCAATAAATGATCCTTTCTAACCCTCTCTTTATTAGCCATGTTTGATTTCTGTCTTGAATGAGCTGATTGACCTGCTGAGCTGGTGACATTCTGACCTCCAGAACTGTAAGAGAATAAATTTGAGCTGTTTTAAGCCATAATACTGTGGTAACTTATGACTGCAGCAAAAGGAAACTAATTATGTAAGCCAATGTGTCCCCTCTCTAGCTAATCATTAAAGTCTTTTCAGAAATGTGATCAATATAGATTCAAAGCTAGGGAATCAAGTATCTGGTGGTGGGCTCCAAAGTCTGCATGTAAAATCAGTTCTTCATTTTAGAAATGAAGAATCCAAGGCCTGGAGAAAGAAGCAACTTAAGACTGTGGGACAGTTCACTTTTAGATTTAATTTTATTTTTTTTATCTTTTTACTTTTCTTCCCCTAGCTGTGCTTTAATGGAGATGTGATTTCATTTGAGGTTTTATGTTGATATATCCATTAAAATGAAGAAACCTTTCTAAAGTTACGTAATGCTTATTGATTAGAATGTGCATGATGCAATCTGACTTTCTGCATTTAGATTTCTGACCTCTGCAGCTAACCTTTCTTCTGGAGATTAGACAGCAGGCTGAGAATGCCTTTGAACTTAAGAACAAAGACCAGCATGCAATTTGCATTGGTGTGCTGGTGCTGTGCATAATAAATTGCTTAAAAACTACAGCAGGATAAGATTTTAGGTATAATTTATTTATAAATGGTAAGGATGTTTCCAGCCCTGCTGAAGTTCCTTGTAGGATTTTCATCAGAAAACAGTTTCTATGTTTTCTCCCTTCTCCATGACTCCAGCAGCCACCATTGACATGATGATCACATATCTATTCCCCCTACCCCTGCCCACTGCCCCCATACATCCACCCACTTCCCAGGTATTTCCATTTGGCTGGATCTCCAGCAACTCCAATTAAGCTGCATCACTGGGACTCCAGAACTTGCAGAACTCTGCATATTTTGTGTCTTTGCAGATGCTGTTTCCTCTGGCCCCATCATTTTTTACTTCACCAATGCCTACTTTTTTCCCCAAGACTCAACCTAAGAATAGTCTCCTTTAGAAAGTTCCTCTTGACTTTACCTAAGTTGGACTTAATTCCTACACTAGATTAATCTGCAGCATCACACACTAGCACATACTATTTGCTGAATGAAAGAATGAGAGTAAACTCTCAGTCGGGCATAAAATAAACTCTTATTCTGGTGTTGAGTGTGTTTAGGATTCCTATTAATTAGAGAGATGTTAAGTTCTTCAAACTCAGCATAGGTTAAAGGGCATTAGGGCAATGCTTAAACTCTGCTTTCTGGGAAGCAGTGGGGAGCGGGTCTGTCCCACTCAGTTTGAGCCAAGGTTCAGGGCAGTTCTGCTTAGCTCTACTTGCATCAGGCCCTGATGTCAGCTTGGGCTAGGCATTAGACATGATTGTAGATACTGGGGATATTTTCCTTTCCCTGGCCTGAAGGCCCCAGTTTAGGAGAAGCCACCAAGACTCTTTTTCTGAGTCTGGGATTTGGATTCAGACAAAACCTAAGTACTAATCCAGTCTCTATCACCTCCTGGCAACAATCTTGAGCAAGTTATTTAGCTCTGAGCTTCACTTTTGTTATTGGTCAAATGAAAACAAGAGTATCTAGACACCAGGATTCTTTTGAGGATTACAATATAAGTTAATTCATAGTTAAATACATAGCATCTAAGAATACATAACCCACTCATGCTTTTCTAATGCACATTACCTGAAAAGAATTATTTCCTAGGGGAAGTGCTAGATACTGGTCAAAGATGATTCTGAGTATCAAGATAACTTATCATATTAAGCATATCTGATTGGTTGCTGGAAGCAGTGCAGGAAGCTGTAGCTACAGGAACAGGTCAGAGACCCTGGGGTGAGAAACAGATTCAGTGAAAAGTGTGTCCATGGTGAAGGAGAGCCTTAGGACATGCCTACATGTCCAAGACCATATTTGAAATGAAAAAAGACAAGAGGTGGTCAGTATTGCTTTCCTTTATCAATTCTCCCTTCTCTCCCCCGTTATCTGCATAGACATTTCTGTGAAGCCTCTGAACACAGGTTTTTTTTTTTTAATATTTATTTTTTAGTTGTAGTTGGATGCAAAACCTTTATTTTATTTATTTTTATGTGGTGCTGAGGATTGAACCCAGGGCCTTGCCTCTGCAGTAAGCAAGTGCTCTACTGCTAAGCCACAACCCCAATCCCTAACACAAGGATTTTGATCACTGGAGTTTTCAGAAACTTCTATCAATTCTGGCTAAAGAAGCCACTGCAAACTTGCCAGGTGGTTTCTTTTGGTGCTGGGGATGGAACCCAGGGCATTGAGCATACCTCTGAGCTATACCTCAGCCCCAGCCCCAGCCAGATGATTTCTTACCTTCAGCTCAGCCATTTCCCTTCTGCTTTAAGTGTGATGACTTGGAGAAATCCAGATCCAGGGAGAGTGTGCAGTCAAATGCTTCTTACTACCTTCCAGATGTTCTTGTTCCCACTAATACACTGTGCCTCGCTGGTCAGCAGGTCTCTCAAGGGAGCCAGAAGAATTGCTTAACCACTGATATATTAGGGAGAAAGTCCAGCAAATCTTTTACATAAATGTCTTGCACAACTATTTTGTTTTTCTTGCAGTGCTGGCGGTCAAACCCAGGGTGTCACACATGCTAGGCAAGCATTCTGCCACTGAACTACATCCTCAACCATGCTTTTGGTTTTTTATTAAACACAGACTATTTCTGAAAGAGTTTGCAAAAGCATGGTTCCTCTTTACCTGACATAAATATTGGCTAATTAATTATTTGTTTCACTTGAAAGAAGAAGACTTATTACAAAAGGCAGAGAATTTAAATCTATCTGGAAAAGGAAATGTGGGAGTTAGTGCCTGCTGATGATGGTAGTGGATTCTCTATTCAGTCCTGCCTCAGGCCAGGAAGGGATAGGGCAGATGCTCATTTCCCCAGAGAAGAGTGAGAAAATGAACTGTGCTCCCTTCCAGGTATTTCCACAGAACTTATTGAAGATAGGGCCTGAGCCCAAGAGCCTAGGCCTCTGCAGTTGCCTCTCAGGAATGAGCTCAGGTTTCTGGGTAAACTACTCAGAGCCTGAGCACTTTATTCAAAGCAAACTGAAATGTTTTCTACTATTTTTCTTAATTTCTTCAAATATATTTAGTTAATATATTTTTTATAAATTCTTTAGCAATTGTGTTCCCTAATGCCTTTCCCCCTCTAAAACCAGACAGGGGGATTACTCTCTAGCCATTTCTCCAAGGACTCCCTTGTCCTTCATCTTGGCACCTCTCCTCAGTCACCAGAAGGTCATGACTTCATGGCTAGTGATATTCAGTAAGGAAGCAAATGTACCTCAAGTGCTTGCTTGTGCCAGGTTTTTCTGTAGATACTACCTCATTTAATTTCACACAAACAATTTTGTAAGGTAGGCTTTATTATCACATACTCAAATGCAACAGGCCAGGTAGAAAATGTAAATGTAAAATATTTTTTTGAGATAAGATGTAGCTACAATTTTTAAACATTGGGAAAAGAAAGGAAGCATTAAGTTAAAACTTTTGAGTCTAAGAAGTATTTGAAAATTTAGGTTTATTAGCTGTGCAGATGCTCCTCCCATTAAGAGATGAAGTCTTTTTCTTAGCAAACATGACACAAAGAAATGAAAAATGCTTATGTCTTAGGACTTGTTCATTTTTTGCATCCTGAGACCAATATGCAAATAAACAGGACTATTAGCTTCCAGGGGTCCAGGCATCAGCCACTGTAACTGCCAAACGTGTAAAGGAGGCAATTTGGCTGTCAGGTGACTGCAGATGCCTGAGTGATCCCAGATGAACTCAATAGAGACAAACCATCAGTTAAACGCAGCCCAAACTGCTGCCCTACAGAACTGTGAGCAAATAGAATGGTGTTATTGAATGCTATTAAGTTTTGGAGTTGGTTGTTAAGTGGTGATAGATAAAGGATTCATTTATGCAGTCAAACACATATAAAAGCAGCCAGGCACAGTGATGCAAACTGATAATCCCAGGAGCTCAGGAAGCTGAGGCAGGAAGATTGCAAGTTCAAAGCCAGCCTCAGCAACTTAGTGAGACCCTAAGCAACTCAGTGAGACCCTGTCTCTAAATAAAATACAAATAAGGACTGGGGATCTGACTCAGTGGTTAAGTGCCACTGAGTTCAATCCCTGGTACAAAAAAAAAACAAAACAAAACAAAACAAAAAACAAAACAACCAAACAATAAACATATAAAGGCCTGAAATGTCTAGAGGTTGCCCGTTTGATACCTTCTCCCTAGACATCTAGGTCTAAGCACCCTGCAGAGGTCCCTGGGCTACAGCATATGCAGCAGCAGCAAAATAATTTGTGTGAGGTGTTCACACAGAAAGAGCCAGACAAAAGGGAAACAAGTGATGTGTTAGTGACAAACTGAATTGATGCCTGCAGAGCGGGCAGCTGACAGGACATCTCAGCATGTCAGCACAGACAGATGATATTGTGGTATTCTTTATATAAGCTTCTGTGGAATTTATGTGCAAACCAGGAAGAAGCGGGTAGAGACCCCTACTTTACTAAGGGTAAGTTTTCACTATTTGTGAAAGATTTAAACTCAAAATAGAAAGTAAATTCGAAGAAGATATCTCTTGCATATATGAGTTATGAGTACCTTGGACCTTGAATCTCTATTATCTTGGAAATTACCTTTGGGGGTTAAAAAAAAGTGCTTTAATTTTCCATAAACTTTCTTTGCTCTTTCTACTGAACCAGTTTTGATGGCAGATTTTAAAGGTGTTTCAGATCTTCCTTAGGAGTGGGAGATTTCTGAAGGAGTCAGAAAGCAGATCATTGTATGAAAAAAAAACTTGGAGGGACCTGAAAATATTTAAAATTTAATTAACTTATCCCCAGACTTTAGGGATTCCTCCTAGGTAAGTTAACTTTATTTCCTGTCCTTTTCTATTTTTGTTACAGCAATTAAATCAAAGAAGCATTTGCTTTATAACTACTATATTCGAGGCACTGTGCTATATACACCAAATGGATGTGAGATTAAATAAAATAGGTACAGATAGTTCTGATTCTATAATGGGTTTCTATTTGAATTAATATAATCACACATACCATTACAGACTGCAGTAAGTACTGTAATAGTGAAGAGCCCAGGATTAAGGGAGGTATCAGGGAGCACAGCCCAGACCAGCAGGTCAGGGAAGGCTTCTTGGAGTTGGTGATGTCTGAGCCACATCGAACAGAATGGGAGTTGTACAGAAAGGGCATTGAACAGGGGGAAGAAAAATGTGTACAAAGATAGAAAAGCAGAAGTGCAGTGTGTTCAGTGAACTGTGTTAAGGGCCCTCTGACTAAAATTAGAAGAGTGGAGGGATCTAGTTAGAAAGGCTTCTGGGAAGGGAAAAAGTTTTGGCAGACATTTAAGGCAGGAAAAATAGAGATGAGTCAAGAGATGACCTTCTGGATGGGGTGATCAGCCTTCAAAAAGGCATCAGGGTAGGAGTAGGTTGTATGGAGTTAACTGAAAAGCATATTGGACCCAAGCAGAGTCACAATATCAAAGTAATGAGCAACAACAACAAAGCTGCTAAAATCCAGGCATAGGAGGATGAATTTGGTGAACCAATGTGGGGACATATGGGGCAGAGAACCTGAAAAGCAGCAGGAATTAGAGACAGCAGACAGCTTTCTCAGCTTTAATGCAAGATAGGAGGTTAATTCTTCAGAAACTGAAAAAAAATGTCCAAACTCACAAAGACCAGGGAGTTGGGGGCAGGATAGCACCAAACAAGTGTAATAAGCAGTGATGAGACCTCCAGCCTGCTTAGTGCTCAGGAGGCTGCGCCAAAAGAGTGAACTGAGCCCAGGAGTTTGGGACCAGTCTGGACAACACAGAGAAACTTTGACTCAAAAACAAGACAAACACCTCCAACCTCCTTTGCCCACTGTATTTCCAGAATGCTATCAGCAAGTATTTTATTCTCCAGATATGAGTCTGGAAGATTTGTCTTTAGGACAGCGACTTGGAAATACTATACAATTGAATAAATATTATTAAATATAAAATGAAAATTTTCTGGAGAAACTTTTTTTTAATGAAGTGAATGTTCCTCTCTTTTAACTCACATATCTATAAATGAATAATTATTTCTAAAGGGAAATGAGAATTCAGTATTATTCAGAATTCAATATCATTTCATCCAATTCTTTGTGGTTTTACATATGTAAATGTTGAGAAAATTTGTTCACATAAATAAGAAGGTATGAATGTTAGAGATTTTGTGATGGCTTCACTTCTCAATTAAACATCAAAAATCATAGTAATTTATCATTAAATATTATTTTAAATGATCTACTATCAACAACTCAATTAGGTTATTCTTTAATTGCATTGGAAGCAAGTAATTGGAAATCTGACTGGAAAGACTATTACTCAGCTATTGGAACCATTTACTTTAAATGCTACACTTTCACTTAGAGGTACTTTGTCTAACTCATTTATTCAGAAGGGGCTGGGGAAATAAAAATGTTAATTTAATAGATCTTTTTAATGTAATATTTTGATATTTTTTGACATTTTTATAGACTAAGGATTGCTATGGAAGAATGTGTCACAGCCTTGGCTATTTCTTATCAAAATTTTCCTCTTTGCTTGGAGAAATTATAAAAAAAATTATGGGGAGTGGGACAGGTAAAGTCCTTAAATCAAAAAAAATATTTAGGACTGTCCTATTGTTGGTATCTTGAAGACATTTGCACCCTGGGCAATATACTGTTGTACTATCGACAAAGATATATACAAATGGAAATTGATGATCTGGAAAATGATCTCCTTAAAACTATCTGTGGCTTATATACCCCTCAAAATGGATACTTGTATCTATCCCAATTTGAAGGCCACTGACTCACACTAAGAAAATGGAAAACATATCTAAGAAGTTAGGGGATTCTTAGAGGGTAATGAGAAGTAGGATCACAGAGCAATCCCTCTAGGATAAAGTTAGACAACAGAGAACTGCAGAACAGCTGCAAATAAAAGATGTGTCTCAGTGAGGTTTTGCATCTTGACTGGGGTTTAGAAGTTCTGTTCTTCACCATTACTTATTGATAGCCTTGGTAAAGTTTAGTGGTTGGACAACTGAGAAAAAAAGAGAGGTGGCTTATTTAAGATGATAAGGCACTGATTAGAAGGTACCTGGATTAGAAAGAAACACGTAGCGACAACAAAAATAGTAGTACATCAAAGGCCAACTCTTCCTGTTTGGCCAATAGGTGATGTGATCTCACATTCATCTTAGTATGTGTGACCTTAAGAGAGAAGAAACAGATCAGTTCCTTAAGGTGAGATCACATAGCAGCAAAGATGAACTTTGATGAACTCTTTTATAACGGTGCTCATAAAAGTAGAATCTATAGTCTACGCATGTTCTTCTTTTTGATGTGTTCTGAAAGCCTGGATTTTGACTACCTGCATCAGAATCACCTGGTTTGTCAGTTAAAAATACAAAATCCTGGCCTTATTTCATACATAAGAATTGGCTGGGGAATGAGGCAGAGAAGAAATTTTGGAATCTGTATTTTAAATGAACACTTCAGGGAATTTTTATATACTTTTGAGTTTGAAAGCCTTTAAGTCCTTATATGAAATTGCAGGTTAATTGTAATGGAAAGTCAGATCTTTTTCGTATTCAATGGAGCAGCCCTGGCAAACTCTTGCCTCCCCATGTTTTACACAGGCAAACATACTGTGGAATATTTGAGGCCCAGGGCTAGATTTCCCAGAATATTTCTCTCCAACCACAATGATTTAGCTCAGTCGTGTGACTATGGAGAAATAAATTTTTAATTTCCTTCTCCTCTTTTCCCCAAAACAATATCCTCAGTTGAATTTCAACAGATACTAAATCAATGCAAACATCCTGTTAGACCTTCAAATTTCTTAAAATAGAATGCTACCTCTGCTTTAAAAAATTCAATTAAACCACCATCTATTAAATAACCATATAAAGCCCTACCTTTGTTGGGTGCTATC